ATTCTGAAGACTCACTTCGGATACTAACTGACCAGCGGCCGAATACGGCTCAACACACATTAACTGGTTGTAGTCTAAAACACGTAAGTGATCTGTTTGTAAACCATTACCACGTTTAAGATGTTCTATTCGTTTACATCCACATTCTAATGGGTTACCATAAAAATACACTCCAAACACATTGGTGGTGTAGAAGTACAAGTACTCAATCTGGTTATGATAATCGTCCGGTATCCTTTTTAGCCGATTGTAACGTAAATCTATTATCTCAATTCCAGCGACATCATCAAATGCATCCTTTTCAATGAATTCAATCTTATTGAATGAAAGATCCAGTACTTTCACACCGTACAACACAAAGTCTTTTGTTTTAATGATAGAAATTTCGTTGTGACTAACATTTAGATATTGTAAGAAATTCCAGGTGCCCCGTCCCATTTTCAAATTGTAGCGCGTTAATTTATTGACAGAAACGTCAAATGTTTCGATATTCTGTAAAGCTGTGTTGTTGGGAAGGTATTGAATACGGTTCCATGTTAAATTAATATTAGTCAAAGAATTCAAATCTGACCAGTGGTCAATTGGAACAGTCTCAAGATTATTTCCAGATAAATCTATTTTAAGAAGTCCTGATAATCCTCGGAATGTCGACTCGGATAAATTATGTAAACTGTTCGAACGCAAACTTAGCGTTTGCAACGCGCATGTAACGTTTTGTTTACAGAACGTGTACGAATCTAGTCGAGGAAAATGATTGGAATCCAGATTTAATGTTACCAACGTTGGAATAGATAAAAATGCTGGAATACTTTCATGTGTGATATTACCATTGACGATTGCCACTTCCGATAAATTCTTGAAGTTCTTGAACGTGTGTTGGTTTATTTGATCAAATTTACATCCACACGATCGAAAGGAAACCAGAGTGGAATTGTGCTTCGACATAATGGACTCGTTCAATTGCCTTTGAATCACAGATGATGAACCACATGTGAGCTGTATCCTCTGCGTGAGGGGCAAACTATCGAAAAGTAGACCCAAGTCTTGATCATCGCTTATTGTGCAAGCTACACTTTTCTTAATAAGGTTTTGTACCCCGGTGTTTTGACAGTCACACGTACATACTGATGATCTTTTAATCCCAGGATTTCCAAAACATATCACATGATCGCATATTTCTTCCGCAACAACATGTAGACACAAACATAACATAAAGAAGACATTCACGTTGATATTGACCGTTTGCATTTTCAAGGTAATGCTGTTTTTAACTCTCAATCTGTAAAACATAAAAAAGAAATTAATTTTATGTCATATATTTTGCCAATATAAACATTATCAAAACAAAAATCAGCATTAAATCCAATTCGGCGATAATAACTTTAAACCAGACCTCTGCGAGGGCCGGTCGAATGTTCATATGCAGCCATTTTTGGTACCATATAAAGGTAGATTATTCCAATTCTTGGATTGTGTGTATTGCTTTAATATTTATCCAAATATATTATCAAGCAATATGGCACAATTACCGTACATAAAAAAAATACTTCTTGTATACACAAATTCATAACCAACAGGTGTTTGGAAATTCAAGTTTGCTTGTTTCCAAACTTTCGATGAATGTTAATACGTCAGCGTCACAGGCGTATGGCGGATTATAAAGTCAGTGGCGGATTCAAAAGGGTGGCGCTCCCCTCCCTCCACCTCCCTAAATTTTTCAAGATTAAAAAAATTGAGAAAAATATGTATGGGGGTTATACTGGTTGGTTCAATCAGCCCCCTGTTGTGACAGACGAGAGTGACTGGGCGGTTTACTCAGACACAATTGACCCTCATGTGAGAAGACTACTATAATGTAAGAGCTTGTCAACACCTCGAGCGCTTTGAGGCTGTTTCGGTAAAGCGCTGTATATTCAACTACATACCGTAATACAATACTAATTACATTCTTAATCTTGTTTTTAATATATTTTATGTGCGATGTAACCTTATATGTTCGGTCGTGAAAGAATTAGAGTAAATTACTTAATTACGCGTTAAAATATTGCAATCGAAGCCAAAAATCCAACTTTATTTATTTCGTCTGAAAACATCGTGGTATATATCCTTGTATTTTCTGATTAAGACACGTTATTTCTCAAGCTATTGTGTAATACGGAAGGATTATTAATCACATGATAACTTTGGTATTGAGAAACACCTCCACTGGTT